GGACAACTCTCGATATTGCTAAACTAAATATGTCGAACATGCCATGAGCTCTCAGGTTCACATGCCCAACTTCCTGGGCAAGGGTTGAGGAAAATTAGCCAACGGTTGAAAATGAGGATTGAGAGCTGAGAATAACTTTTACATCACACTCTTTTATGTTTTGAATAGATGTATAAATTTCACGAAAGAGCCTAAAGGGGCACAACCAATGCAAGTGCAAACTATGCAAAAAAAAAATAAAAATCAATGCATACAAGTCTATAATGTCAAATTCTTAATTGTTTTTGTTGTTTTTAATTGTTTATTTATTTATTTATTTTTTAACATCTGTATGCAAAATTCTGGTGTAAAAAGTTATGTCAAAGTTAGGATCTGCTAAGAATCTTCCTCTCCTTCCAGTTTTTTTAATTATTTTATCCAATTGTGTCTGCATGGGATCGTTACATGGCACTAGGGGTGGTTAAAATTGGACGGGACAACCCAAGCCCATTCCCTGTTTGTGGATGGGCTTTGACATTCCTTTGTATTGCCCGGGTTAGGCTTGAGTTGAATTTTTTCAACCTGACCACAATGTAGGTCGGCTTTGGGTAGAGGTGCTGGCAACACAAGCCTAACTTTATATATATATATATATATATATATATATATATATATATATATTATGTTTAATAGAGTGTCAATTGTCAAGTTAGTTAAGCTAGTTGTGGTAACTTTTCTAAGGGAAGATCCACTATTCAAGGGTAAAAAGCTAATTCCAACTTTCATTGGTTCATTCATAATTAAGGTTCATGATGCATCCATATAGTTCACGTTTTGTAATTATAGGCAAAGCTCAAGAGGGGAGTGCATCCCAAAAACTATGCAAGGGCCAATAGGGCCCCTAAACTCTTAAAGTATCCACAAAATCCACTAACTTCCCTATAGATTTTCAATTTCTCCCCCTTAGCCAAAAAAATAAGTATGGAGGTTAGAGAACTTGGCACACTAATAGAATTTTCCTCTTCCTCGAAGGCCCTCCTATTCCTTTTGTTCCACAAAGACCACCAAAAGCACAAAGGCAAAACTCGCCACACATCACGAGTTTTAGCTCCCACAATGCTGCCTCTCCAAGCCTCAAGAGCACTCCTAGTAGAAAGAGGCATAACCTGTTGTGCCCCAAAAATGTCCAAGAACATGTCCCTACAATCTCAAGCCACCGGGCAATGTAGAAGGTGATGATCCGCCGTCTTCTCATCCACATGTAACCCGCCTCAAATTGTCCGTCATGATGATCTGACCCAAAGCGACTGTCCAAGCAAAAAAGGTCACTTTGAGGGGTGCCTTTATGCGCCACACAACCTTCCATGGAAAAGGAATGGCTCATCAGTCACCAATCTCAAGTAGAAAGAGCACACCCTGAACCTTTCCTTGGAAGAGGGAATCCATAACCACTCATCTGACCCCACACCCTCCACTGGTAAAACACTGCCAAACAATCACAAATGTCCTCCAGCTCCCAATCCTAGAAATGTCTTGACCACTGCACATTCCATGTTAGCACTCCGCTATCAAGACAATAGCAATCGACAATCATGGCATGTTTGTCTGTTGCAATACTAAGAAGACTTGGATAGGAACAAGCTAAGGATTTATCTCCACACCAATAATATCCCTCACCCTAAAGCGAATGTGTTTTGAAAACGCATCCCATCCATTCTGGATGATTTTCCAAACTCCAACTCTAGGCGGGCCCCTCAGTGTTAAAGAACACCACCCACCCCTATCCTCTCCAAACTTTGAACAAATGACCCTCCTCCAGAGTCTACTCCTCTCCACCCCAAATCTCCATAACCACTTGCCCTACAGGGCATTGTTGAATGGAGCAAGTCTCCTAATCCGCAAGCCTCCCATCTGAATTGGCTTACATACCTGGTCCCAACTCAGAAGATGGTATTTGAACTCCTCCCCCATTCCTCCCCATAGGAAATTTCCGTTGGAACTTCTCAATCCTCTGCCTCACTGAGCCTGGAATCTGAAACAAGGATCTGAAGTAAGTGGGCAAACTCGATAATGTGCTCTTCATCAAGGTCAAGTGACCCAATTATCAAAAAAAAAAAAAAATCAAGGCCAAGTGACCCCTTTTGACAGATACTGTTTCTTCCACCCTTCGAGCCTCCTCTCAAACCACTCAATAACTGGGTCCCATGTTGCTACTCTCTTCGAAGGTGCCCCCAAAGGCAAGCCTAAGTATGATATTGGAAAGTCCCCAATCCGACAGCCCAGGATACCCGCAAGAATAGAGATCTGGGCCACCTCCCCCACCTGGACAATCTCACTCTGCTTTCACATTCAAGCCAGAAACTGCTTTGAAAGCAAACCAACACACTCCTCAGATATCTCAACTGGTGCATCTGCTCTCTACTTACTATGAAGTCTCTAACAAAACCCAGATCCACTGCCCTCATCAGACGGCTGAAAGCCTCCATCACAATTAGGAAAAGAAATGGTGAGAGTTGGACTCCCTGCCTCAACCCTCTCGAGCTACTGAAGAATCAAGAAGGAGATCCATTTACCAACACTGAGAACCTCACAGTAGAGATACACACCTCTACAAAAGGAATGGCAAGAAACCCCATCTCACATGATCATAAGCCTTCTCAATATCCAGTTTACAAAGGACTCCTGGGACTCTCCACTACTCAATCTAGAATCCATACAATGGTTGAATCTAGAATCTGACGGCCTCCCACAAAGGCATTCTGGGACTCTCAGATGACACCAGCTCACCAAACTAACAAGCGTGAACTTAACATCCATCGCTCCGAAATCGTATCAGAGTTCAACCCATCTGGACTCGGTCTCCAAGTAAACTCTGTTTACAAGGGCTAGTAAAAGGAAGCAATCCCTCTATGCACATCCTCCTCTCTACTCAAAAGGCTCCCATCAACCCAAATCCTCCCACTGTGGTTGCTCCTCCGATGAGCATTAGCTAACTGATGGAAGAACTTAGTGTTTTTGTCAGCCTCCTTAAACCACAAAGCCTAAAGTGTCTATCAAGGATTCATGTCAGCTCGATTGACTGAAGAATGAATCGAAACTTACTACCAATCGATTGACATGTGACTCGATTGATCAAATAATTCGATTATTAAGTTTCAATTATATTTGAAACTCTTAAAACCATTGTTTTGTTTTGTTTTGTTTTTTTGTTTTGTTTTGTTATTTATTTATTTATTTATTTTTTTTTTGATACTCGATAAAAAGACACCCACAGTTAAGAGAACCTAAGCTCAATATACTAGGGCATTCAGGCATACTTTATAGCATGCATTGTGCATACTTGTAATCTCTCTTTTCATTTTTTCTTTTGTTGGTAAAGGCGTATTTGCAATGTCTAATTGCTATGGTTTTGTGTTTTTCACATTAATCATACATCTAGCAGGGTGATTGTGTCCTTTGGTGGTTGTTGCGTTTCATCATTCTTCAACTACAAATCCAGTCAAACATGAGTTGAAGTTACTTTAAAAGAGATTAGAAGTCCATAGAGAAGAAGATAGCATAAAGAAGGGAAAGGAAGAGGGAGGGAGGGAAGGGGGGAATCTAGGCAAGTGCACGAGACTCCCGTCATTACAGAGTTGTGGGGCCTGTTGAACTAATACTATGTACTTAAAAATTGAAAAAAAAATTATAAATCAATCGTAGTAAGTATATATATATATATATATTTATTTATAATATTAGTCTTATTAATATATATTTTGAGGGAAAATACAATACAAAAGGTGAACCTAAATAAGTAGTTATGAAAACTGATATGAAAAGGAAAAAGAAATAAAAGAATAGAGAAAAGGAAGCGCTTACAAGTAAAAGAAAAGTTGTAAAGAGAAAACATTGTTCAATTATTAAATTTTATTCAACATTTGTTTACTACTCATGAAACTGAGTGATAAAGAAGGTTCATGTATTTTTATTAAATATGAGGTGCCATTAGTGTAATTTTTTCATCTCTTTTTAATTCGTATAATAGATATTATACTTGTGTATACATAAATGTAAATAAAACAATGATATGTTGCAGCAAAACAAAATTTATATGAATTTTGGGGGTCACAAGTAAGGGTATTTATATAAAATAACAAATTTTGTGGGTGCGTAAGAAGAAATTTAAAAAATTTTGGGGGACAATAGCCTCCCTTACCCCCCTCTGGCTCCGCCCCTGGGGAGCGAGTCTGTTGACAAATTAGCAGCTGGAAGGATCGGGGATGATCTTTGTAAGTCTGAGTCGGGAGGGGGAGAATCTGAAAGCTTAGATGTATTCTCTTTCTCATGTAATACATTTTATCTGCCTGATTAGGTCCCACGGTTTTGCTCATTTGGGTTTTTCCCATAAAAGTTTCCAGTGTGATTCTTTTGTATTACTTTTCATGTTCTTTTTTGCTTTGATGAACATTATGGCTATTAATCTAGTGGAAATTTTACATGAGATAAAATTGGAACTCTAGGCCTAGATCACGACTTTGCGCATACTCTAATCAGAGCCTAGGGTTTCAGCCTAGTATTTTTCTCAATTACTAATATATTAGGGAACTTGACTTGACCGGCCCTATTTTAGCCCGGCTAACCTGACCAATCCAAGCCTAACCGAGCTTAACTGAGCATAGAAAAATATGCTTGGGCTAGGGCTAGGGCTTGGCACCTTGGGTTGGGCTCAGGTTGACAACCAAACAGCCCGATTTCCACGTACATGCTGCAATGGTGAAAATTATTCTCACAAGCTATGTTTGGTCTTGATTAGGCATGGTTAGTTTTTTGTGTACAAAGCATCTTCTGCATGGTGTTTATTCATTTGTCCATCTTCATTACTCGTTACTATTATTCTGTGCATGTGGATGAAGCATACGATCATGTTCTGGACAAGAGTTTATACTTTCTTAATGGTAATGATTTAGTTTCAAGTCTTTTAGAGTTGAGTAAGCGAATGTCAACTGTAAAAAGATTATATTTATGATATCTATCTACAGGAACCTCACAACTTGGTTACTGTTGCGGAGTATCGGTTGCCAGAGGTGAAGGGTGGGACACCCATGTACTTCGATTTCCCTAGAAGGATACAAACTCGCCGAATCTTATTCAGGCTTCTTGGAGATGTAGCATCATTTTCAGATGATCCATCTGAGCAAGACGATTCAGATTATAGAGCGCCATTGGCAGCAGGTTTGTCTTTGACAAATAGAATCAAGTTGTATCACTATGCAGATCCCTATGAACTTGGGAAATGGGCGAGCCTTTCTGCTGTTTGATTGCTATCGTACAAAGATGACAGGTTTGGGGAATTGGTTGCAAATTGGTTTTTGTAGGTTGATCGAATTAATATTCTTTGTTGTAATTTAAATTGTTTGTAATGGTTTTGTTATTCATTAATGTAATAATAGTGGTGTCATCCAGAAATTAGATTAGCTTGTTTTTACTGTGTGCAAGACCAATTTGGCAAAGATAATCTGCCATTGTTATCAGATTCTAATGTTCCTATTCTGAATTTGATATAATAGAAGCTGAGAGAGTTGTTCCTATTTTGCCTATTTTGCAAGCTTTGACCTACGTTCAAGTTCTTCGTGTGAATAATTGTTGATGTGACTTTCTACAATTTACAAATGCGGAGAGCCATATAGAGAGCAACACATCGGTTGCGGCATTTGTATGCAACCATCACATCATCTATCCATTTTTTGAAAAGTGGATAGCCAAGTCAGTATTAAAGTGTGCTGATTTGGCAATTCATATATTTTTTTCCACTAACTTTTGTCTCATGGTATGCAACCCAATATCTGGCTATCTAGTATCTACTTTATTATTTTATAATTTTTTAAATTAATTTATTTTAAGAAATTAAATTTTATTTTATTATTTTTTAATAATTTATTTGTCTTTTTTTCAACAATTATATTCCCAACTATTATATTTCTAATGGATATATTTCAATTTTTATATAAACTACTCATTTTATCTTTCAATCCTCAAGTCCACTCTTGAAATTCATTTTATTTTCTTTGAGCTTTCATTGTTTTTCATACAAAAAATAATGACTTCATTATCACGATCTATTCCAGTGTCCGAGTCTATTTCTCCATTCAATTCGTCAAATTTAGCTGGGAAAGAAGTTTTTGAGATCCATCGGAAACAGATGAATGTTATGAGAATGTTGTTATCGCCTGATAGGGTGAGGGCATTTTTTCAACCTTGTTAAAAAAAATATATTAAATGTGGTCAAAGAGGAGGAAGGACAACGGTTATTCCAAGATTATTTTGTTGAAAGCCCAATTTTTCCACCAAACATCTTTCGTTGATTGTTCTGGATGCGACGAGAGTTGTGTATGAGAAACAAAGTAGTTGAATGAAAAACACAGAGATGTAAAAAAAATGAGTCTATGAATGAAAAACAGAGCCTTTGAATAAAAAACGAGACTTGTTGCGAGATATATTTGCAAACGGCTATTATAATTGATTAGGAAAAGAGACAACATATTATCACAAAAAGTAAAAGATATGCTTAAAAAGTTGTGCCAAAAGTTAACAAAAAAGACACATATAAGAGCATCTGGGTGCTACCCAAAATAGAGAGAGATGTCAGTATAGAGAGTGAATAGAACGGTACGCTGAAAGAATTTGACCAACTTTATTATGAGCCCTACAACCACACTCTACATCATGCTCCACAGACAGAGAACCATTTAGACAATACTCCACAATTTTTTTTTTTTCTTTGTTTAAAGCAAAAGGCAGCTTCAACGGAAATAAAACAAAAGGCAGCTTCAACGAAAAAAAACCAAAAGAATGCTCCAACGGTCAATTACATTCCAAACGATAAATTACTTTCAAACGGTAATAAAAAGGCTATATTATTAGCCTATAAAAACCAATTTCATCTTCAATAATTATCATCTTCAATAATTCTCTTTCTCAATATTTTTTTAACATTCATCTCTATAGATCCTCAACCTCCATTCTATCGCCCCCATCTCAACCAATCTCATAACTCTGAATTTTCTTTTTCTATCTCTGTGTAATGTAATTTTCTTTTTCGATCTCTGTATAATGTAATTTTTATTTATATATGTACTGGATATTTCTTTAAATAATAGTTTATTTAAATTTCTTAACAAATCTAATCGAAACAAATAATTTTTAAATTACATTTTATTCGACTACAACAAATTTAAACATCTTCATTACCAAAATTAATTCCACAAATGTTCCATGAGATCTCTCCTAAGATCAGCATTGTCTGATCTATTGCAAATCCTACTTAGGCGAGAGGAAATGTGTGCCGCCAACATTGATTGGTTTCGAATGTAATGTGAAAGGGAGATTGGGTCATCTATCGGATGTGTCCATTGCAAAATGTGTTCGCCCTCGTCTTTAATGATCATATTGTGTAATATGATACACGTTCTCATTATCTTGTTTAGATCTTCTGTATTCCAATAAAATACCGGTTGATGCATTATAGCCCACCTCATCTGCAACACGCCGAACGCCCGTTCTACATCCTTCCTAACAGCTTCTTGTTTGTTAGCAAATAATTTCTCTTGGACTGTTGTTGGGTGCGGGATGGTCTGCATCAAAGTTGCCCACTTAGGATATATATCATCAGATAGGTAATACCCCATTGTACGCCGATGCCCATTTACCACGTAATTAACTGGAGGCATTGAACCATTGATCATGCTTTTGAATACTGAGGAATGATCGAGAACAGTCAAGTTATTGTGTGAACCAGCCATACTAAAGAAAGCATGCTAGATCCACAGATTTTTCGATGCAACGACCTCCAATATGAGGGTAAGTTTATGGCTTTTTCCCGTGTGCGTGCCATGCCATGCTGTGGGGTAGTTCTTCCATTCCCAATGCATACAATCTATAGAGCCAAGCATACCTGGAAAACTTCTCTCTTCCCCTTCTCGAAGCAGACGTGCAATGTCATCTGCATTTGGTGAGCGTTGGTACTGCTCCGCATACACAGCAATTATAGCATCACAAAACCTCTTCAAGCTTTCGATCGCAATGCGCTCAGAAATCTTTATATACTCGTCACAAAGATCAGCTGAAATTCCATATGCGAGTATACGGATTGCAGCAGTCATCTTTTGTATAGGAGTGAACCCTATACGACCGAGGGCATCGGGTTTCTGGATGAACCATTCGTCATATGTTGTAACACCGTTCAAAATGCGAAGAAACAACTCTCGTCGCATCCGAAACCTTCTACGAAATATGTTTGGTGGATAAATCGGATTTCCAGCAAAGTAATCTCGGAATAGCCGTTATGCTGCCTCCTCTCGATCGCGTTTAATATACTTTCTCTTACGAGGTTGAAAGAATGTCCACACCCTATCGGGCGATAATAATCTGCTCACATAGTTCATCATTTTTCGATGGATTTCAAAAATATCTTCCCCATCTGAATCTGACGAATTCAATGAAGAAATAGACTCAGAGACGGGTACATCTCGTGACGATGAAGCCATTGTTTTTTTGTATAAGAAATATGAAGACTCGTGGTTTATATAGAAATTGAAAAAACAAATAATGGACTTGAGATGCAAAGAAGTGGATTTCATAATTGAAAGAAGATAGAATGAGTGATTTATATAGAAATTGAAATATAGCCGTTGCGAAGAAGACAAAAAATTATTAAATTCAAATTCAAATTTTTTATTTTATTTTAAAATTAAATTAATAAAATAATAAATAGAGAATGAGATAATTGGTTTCCACACTATGGAACATATGCATAAAAAAAAGTAGAGTACCACATCATCACTTTTTAGCTTACGTGGCAATCTACTTTTTAAAAAGCAGATAGATAACTTGTGTTGCCTACACCACTTGCTCTAAGAGCATTCGGGATGGGAACCAAAGTAGAGTATATCAGCATAAAGTAGAGAGAGGCGGTGTGGGTGAAAAGTAGAATACCAAATAAGTAGCCCTCACTTACTGTAATCTATTGAATTGTCCACGGTTAGAGAATCAGATAGATAATATATATCCGTTTGATACAATATTTTAATATTTTTCATGGTGCCTTTTGCTCCTTTCCTCGCATCAAATTATTTATTTATTTATTTATTTTTGTCTCTTTCCACAACATGAACTATACCCATTTGCATATACATCTCTCAATCAATTCTCTGGTTTTTCAATTTTTTTGTGCCATCTGTTTTCATTCAACGGCTATTTTATCATTCAACAGTTCTTCTTCACTCAATGGCTCTTTTAAAATAATAGTATATAAATATTAATTTAACTCTACTAATAATTCTTATCTTCAACAATTATCTCTCTCAATATTTCTTTTAATATTCATCTCTATGGATCCTCCACCTCCATTCTATCGCCCCTATCTCGACCAATCTTATAATTTCGAATGACCACCGCAATCTAATTATAATTTGGATTTTTAAAATTTTTATCATTCTGAAAATCCATCTCAATCCCAATACTCTTATTTCTCATACCCACTTCATCCCCAATTCCAACCTCATTCTCAATTTCGACCTTCTCGAACCCAACATAATTCAAGGCGTTTGAAACATATTTTTTTTTCCTAATTGGGACTCACACACAAGAAGATGAAGCATTATGCAAAGCATGAGTTGGTCCATGGAAGAAGATATATTTTTTTTCTCCTACTTTCCAAAGGGAGGTAAGACGTTCGAAACATATTTGGTCCATGGAAGAAGATGAAGCATTATGCAAAGCATAAGTTAACATTGGGAAAGATCCAACAGGTTTGGATCAACAAAAAAGACAAAAAATAATTTATATTTTTTTTAATAAATAAATTAAAAAATAATAAAATAAAATTTAAACTTTTTTATTTAATTTTTAAATTAAATTAATAAAATAATAAATAGATAATGAGATAATTGAATTCCATACCATGAACATATTGGATGACAAAATGTAGAGTATCACATCAGCACCCTTCATTAAAGTAAGTTGATGTGGCACTCTACTTTTTGAAAGTAGATAGATAATATTTGTAAAGCACACCGGATGTTCTAATCTATGAGACTCTCTACATGTGGACAATGTAATAGATAAACGACAGTGGGGCGACATGGCACTCCCCACCCACACCGATTGCCTTATTCTCTACTTGACTCTCATATTGCCTACTTCTACTTGCACCCGGATGCTCTAAGGGGATTGGTAAAGACCAGCTATCCCTTTGAGTTTCACTTGCATAAAATCCTCCATAGTTCTAAAATTCCACAAAGATTCTCAACTTGTCTCTCTTTTTTTTTTTTTTTTTTTGGTCGTGTATAAAGAAAGATTTTATTTTTTCCCCCTCATTTTCCAAATATGTTTTATCGTGTTGCCATGTCACAGTTCCATTGCCACTCTCAGAGCATCTAGGGCACATCAAATTGTAAAGAAGATTTGTGAAAAGTAAAGAGAGAGAGAGAGAGGAGCGGTATGCATTCAAAATTGAGTGCCCTTTTTGTGGCACCCACAAAGACTTATCTATGGGCTTCTTTACAAACAAGATAGAGAATGGTTTGGAGCATATCTATTATTTTCTTTCCTTTGTTTATTGGCAACTCTGTCTTGTATAGATTCACAAAGAATTTATGGATACAAAGTAAAAAAAAAAAGATAACAGCTTCAACGACTCTTTTAAAACGGCAATAAACAACGGCTATATTATTTACTTAATAAATACTAATTCTCATTTTCAATAATTCTCTCTCTCAATATTTTTTTTTTTAACATTCATCTCTATGGATCCTCCACCTCCATTCTTTCGCCCCCATCTCAACCACTCTCATAACTCTGAATTACCAACGCAATCCAATTATGATTTGGATTCTTCAAATTTTTTTCAATCCGAAAATCAATCTCAACCCCAATACTCTTATTTCCAATTCCAACCTTCTCAATTCCAACCTTATCAATAATAAATAGATAATGAGATAATTTAGTTCTACACCATGAAACATATTGGATAACAAAAAATAGAATACCACATCATCACTTTTTAGCTTATGTGACAATTTACTTTTTAAAAAGTAGATAGATAACCTTTAACCCCACACCACATGCTCTCAATGCCATCAAAAGAAATAGTGATCCCTTCACAAATATTCACAATGCACTTAAGAAAGAATGGATCATTATGTCTAATTGTTGTACAGAATAAGAAATGAGAGAGAGAGAGAGAGAGAGGTAACTTGTATATAGTCAAAAAACGAGTTTGAGTTTTAAAGCAGCCAATTTTGTGAAATTCGGCAGAACCCTCTTATGGTTTAAGAGGATTTTTACCAGGCATTTGCTAGAAAACAGAAAAGCTCAAGAAAGCTTCCATCAACAAGTCAATGTCGTCACAACTTCTAATAATGCCCTTTCAATTTTGTTCCTTCTTTGCAAAAACCAACTTTGTGCATCTAGAGGTGGAAAGATCTATAGACTAAATTTCAAGCTTTTTTCATTCAAGCATTGGTGCAGTGATACACTTCCATCAGAAGCTAGCTATATATAACAAGCAATGACTTCTTTTTTCAAGTGAAGTGGCATACCATCCAAAGCACCAGAAATATGGAGCAGATATATTTAGATTCAGGGGCCATTGCCGGGTATATTTAGTAAACACCCGAGCCTAGTGGAATCACGAATTGAGGTTCGAAAACAAGCATTCCATATATGTAACATCAAAAATTAGATTTGCACTTGGTCTATCTTTCCCTACGCGTCAATTAAGAGGAACATATATTTGCTTAGCGAACAACAACAATGTGACAATAACCAAACGTCTAAAGTGACTGCAGGACTCGAGAGAAACATAGCAGGTTGTTATAATCACATTTTATAACTCAAAAGAAGTGGTTCACACCAATTGTACAAGTTCAAAATCATAAACGACTTTCAAAATTTCAGATTTTTGTCCATTCAACATTTCTAGGTAACAATTATTCAACCAACCAAGCTCACCATTCAATGCATTTACATCCCTTACAAACGATTGAAACCGTCTCCGATGTATAATCACTTTCCAATTAATTTCTTCCACTTTGAGCTTAGGTTAAGAAGACTAGAACAAACAGGACAATAAAGAGGACCACCAAAAACAGTAACATCATAATCTGACCTTTGGCACCAGCCTTCTTCATAACCATAGCGACTTTTTTCTGTAGTGAAATTCGTGTTTGAAAAAAAAAATATATATATATATTAATTAGATTACTCAAACTATCTCATTGATTAAAAACAGCAATTGAATTAGTTTTAGCTGCCTGAAAAGTAGCAGAAGGGTTTTAGCTTTAAATTACAGGTTTGAAAATATATTTTGCGACAGTTTAAAATAATGATAAACAAGTTTTCAATTCAGAACTACAGGAAAAGAATCACCTGAACAAAATCAAGACGATTTGAGGTACTGTCCATCTCTGAACCCAGATCATCTATAATCTTCTCCTGTAGCAATGTATGTATGTATGCATGATGTTAACAGTCGGTAAAAAAAGATCCCAGAAAGAAGTTTGGCTAAAAATATTAGTCCATAAGTTATAAATACAGCTGCAAGAGAGTGACTCTTGCATAGGTGTTTGAAGATGAGCAAAGGGTAATTGAGGTTCCTCTAAAAGCATTGCAAGGAACTATAGCATAAAACAATACTTGCCTGTGCAAGGAGTTCTTCGTGTATAGTAAGCCCAACGCCTCCAATTCTCTCCACACTTGCACTAAGCTCGTCCAGCTCTTCATCCTGTTGCCTAGAAGCACCAATTGACAGGCATCCACAATGAGAATATCTATATACTTGTGTGTATGTATATATGTATGTATTTATATTGGGCGAAAATAGGTTTTTGAGTAAAGCACAATAATCAATTAGACAGTAATTATGTCCGCACCCCAAAAAAAAAAAATAATAATAATAATAATTGAATAAAAAAAATAATTAATAAATAGTTTCAATGGAAAAGTAGTCTTTCAATTACTAAGATACCCTCATTACTACCCTCCCTCCCTCCGCTCCTCTCCATCCACATCCTTCACAACCATCTTAATCCTCACTATACGGGGCAAATCAATTTGGATCTCAATTCAGTGGGAGGACAAGCTGTAGTTTATCCCATGAGAAACCCATTAATAGCAGCATTATTTTCCTAGTCCCAAAACTATAAATAAATAAATAAAGTTCGGAGGTTTAAAGAGACAATGATGACTGCTAAAACCTTTATTACCAGACCCTCATATATCCATTAAGAATGTTATTTCTTTTTATTTCAGATTAACACTTTTACTTTGATATTACTACATTATTAATGCTGTAAACATTTTAATGATTACAAAAAATCAGGCAGAGAATTACAGATCCTCAGAAAAGATCTAATGTTATTTTGGTAACAACAAAGGGAAGTTAATGTCATTTCTAGAAACAAGGTTTCTGGATTCTATCAAGAGAGATTAGTAAGCAAAATAAATAATAAATTAGAGATTCATCTCTCTGAATTGCAGAGAGGTAATCATAAATGAGCTCGGGAGTTGAATCCTCGCATAAGTGATAAACCCATAAGTGAGAAAAAAGCATAAGTAAATATAGATTAAAGAATTCTTGATAGAGGATATGAACAGAGAGAACGAAAATGTGGCAACATAAAAAAAAAAAAAAAAAACAAATAAATAAAATAAAAAATGAAAAAGGGACCCTACTTGATGAGAAGTAGCTGCCTGTCTGATTCCGATGATATAAAATCATCATTATCTTGAGCAATGTACTGGTTGGATCTGTCTGACTGATGAGAATTTGGCATCCGCATAAGTTCTCTGCGCATCCCATTCATGTTAGAAGTGCTTGTACCATTCAATTCTTTTCCAGTTACTACTGCTTTCTTCACATTACCCACCTAGCAACAGAATGTAATCTTTTAGGGATCTGAAAGACTAAATCTAACTCTCACCATGTAACATGTGATCAGAAAAGATCACAAAAGAATTGAAAACCATACTTGTCCGAGTGTGACACTCAAACAACATGACAACGTTCTTCTTTTATAACATCAAGAGATTGCCAGCCATAATATATTACTGTTGCTAAAACTTTAAAATAAAATGCAGATAGTACCTGAGTACGAGCAATACTGGTCCATCTTTTTCTTTTATCAAGTTCGATTTCATTAATACCATACCAAGCAGGATCCTTAGCCGCTACAGCAATTGTTTTGTCCAATTCATCCACCTTCCTATCAGAAACAAGATTTCAGTATGGACACATAGAGGTCAAATTGTCCAATAAAAAGCCAAAAATTGTAGCAAGGCCTGTGGTGGTCAAGTTGGTAGACTACTGATCCTCTAATTGGAAATTAGTTGAAACAACACATCTGGTTAAATCCATTTAAGTGAACCACCACTTTTTTTGGCACATACCTGCCACTCGATGCTCTCACAACTAGCAAGGAGCTCCTTTGTGAGATGATGCTGCTCTCCACTATCTGAAGGATTGCGTTCCCATTGATGAAAAGCAGATTGCAACTTGTCAATCTAACCAAGGAAATAACCAAATGGACAGATATTAAAAACTAAAGAATTTCAAAGCATGAAATGACCATAAAAAAATTATATACACTTAAGAAAAGATCTCTGGGTGGAGAGGGGAGAGAGAATGTGGGCATGGGATGCATGTGTGTATGTGCGTCAAGAATTCAGTTTTTGGATTGGGCCAGGGGTGGGGCAACATTTAAGAATATAAGAATATAATATTAATTACTAATGTTTTTGGTAATTACATGTACAATTGTCCTAGATGAAATTTAATATTAAGCAAGATTTTGCGTACAAATTGGAGTGAAAAACTATGTATATGTAAGTAACACAATTATACAAAACAAATTTGAATGGTTGCATGTTCTAGTGTATCCTTCATTCCCTCTTACAATGAATACAATTTAGAATTTTCCAAATAGTCAATTTATTTAGGACTTAACAAACCTAGAAAGTCCTTGCTTGCAATAATTAAAAATTAACGAATGAAACTTGCCTTTGTATTTGGAACTTTTAAATCAAGGACTGATGGATAATTAAATTAAACCAAATAAAGAACCGAATTGCGCCTATGGGTCTTCAAATATTTTTAAACATGTGTACATACAATATTAAGTAGACAAAGATACTTTATTTAAGGTTTCTTTCGTACCTTCTTAGAGATTGTGATCCTTCATTAAATAAAAAATAGCTGAAAGAATAATGTAGCATAGACAGAGAGGATTAAAAAGATGGAAATATGGATTGGATTAAATTGGAGGATAAAGATTGGTAGTGTGGGGCAGTTTTAGAATTTAAAATCCTATATTTTAAAAATATGAAGAAAAAAAAAAAAGCTGACGGGGCAGTTTTAGAATTTTAAAATTTATACATAAAATGAAAATATGAAAAATTTGAGGGAGGGAACCTGCCCACTAGGTCCCACATAGCTCCGTCACTGAGATATATATATATATATATATATATATATATATATATATATATATAACAGTATTTGTAGGGAGACGAGTCTTATTTCATTTTTTACAATCAGAATTGCAGAATAATTCTAGAAGAGAGGGGCAGCCCAAAACTCGTAGTATTCCCATATGCACTCTCCACTCACTATTTCTACGAAATTTCCTCTGCTCTCACATGGGCACGAATGCCTGCTACAATCGAAGTGGTTTAACAATTTTGTTTCTTTGATGAAATAACACGTGATGAGAAGACAACAAAAAACTAAAATTTGTCAAAAAACTACAGGTTTTATACTGAGTATTCATTACCACAGGAGAAATACTAAATCATGAGGTTCTAAGAATACTATTTTTACTACATGAATAAGTTTTCTTCTAGTCCATCCGAAATTGACGGAATGAACACAATAGCAATGGGGTAAACTACCTGTACAGACACTTCTAAGACTCAATAGGCCACTTACAAGTATGTATGACTTGTAAAACAAATTAGTCAACTGAACTGTTCCATCAGCATCTTTCAATACTCAATAGGATTTCAATCAGGTCCTAAATCCTTCCATACCTTCTTTTTTCTTGGGCCTCCATAACATCCACTACTACAATTTTGTTTTTTTAACTATAGTTGCTAAGTTCCTGTTTCATCAAATAATTTTTGAAACTAGAACTTCCATCCATAGTTGTTAAGGGCTCACCTGGGCTAGCCCCAGGCTCGTCAAGGCTCATCCAGAGCACTTCAACCTACTACAAAAACAGGCCCCTTCAACCATGCTCATGTCAGGCTTGCACTTTTTAGCAGAACTCAGGCTCAAACAAAAAAGCACAGCTCTTAATTTTAAATCATTCATTCATATTGTTTTCTTTGTTCTGTATATGAACATGAATCTATGTACTCTACGAATGTCATATTCAATGGATCACATTGTCTAATCTTATGAATGTTTTGACGGAATTCACGAGTTTATGTGACTTCTGACATTAAATGTTATCCGTGTTTGATTCTTGATTTTCATCATAAGATATTCATGTTTAAATTTACATCATTTTGCTTTTTATTGTTGCACAATTATAATGGTATTTGACTAGTTCATGCATATGCATATTCGGAAGGATTTATTTGCATTTTTCTGCACTCATATTTAAGATTCACTTATATTACACATGCCCCTTACTTCAATCAGGCTCACACCTTATGTCGAGAGCCTAATAATTAAGTTTCCATCTTTCATTAGTCTCATTCTCTCTTACTAAAAGTATCCTACTCTTACCCATGATACACTTAACATAAGTCAGTGTGTCCATTTTCTAATGCTTACGAGCAAACTGTTATACATCTTTCTTCCTTTGCATTCCTTATTGCCTCCTTGGTTTCCATGTTAGCTAATTTATATCTTAGAAAACATGTCATCCTTCCTATACAAATCTTAAAGTCTATGACAACCTTATAGTAAAAAATTTATACATACACAACACCCATAAAGATTCTCAACTACCAATTTCTAATGTCACTGTTGATGATCCCCTGAACTAAAACAAGTCGGTCCATGTACTGGCCTTAAATAATATTGTATAGAACCACCACAGAACAAGCTTTCAAATAAACGCAGATGCCAGATGGTTGAATCAAAACCAACTGATTGGTGGATCTATATCAATGGGAAAAAGATTATAAACTGCATTAATGATAATGCTGAAATTCACAGATTTGCTTTGAAAGACATCGAATATAACAATAGAACACATAATAGTATTACCGTGAGGCCACATTTGATATACATGAATGAATTAAATTACTGATCTGCAAATAACAGTTTTCATTTCATAAAACAAGCTTACAGATTCTTGGATCTCCTCCTTTACAATGTAAAATGGATCTTGAGCTGAAGACGTCATATCGCCAATTACATTATATTTACCTATGCACATCAAAAAGGTTAACGAAAAGATATCAGACCCACATGCAGGCTGAAGTAAACTACTTTTAAAGCTTTAGCACCAAGGAACCAAGTGATATAAAACATTAGATATTAAAGCTAAGATTCTGCTTTAAGGAATCAGTTTCCATAATTTTAGTGAATTATTATTCAAGAGGAAGATTCTTATCACTTTTCCTGGCATTCTGGACCAAAAGACCAACTCTTGGATGTGTTCCAGTCTCATCATTCACTCTTTTGGTTGTTGTGATTAACATGATGCATAGATTGGTATTTAATATTCAGCTTTAGTTTAAATTTGAAATTTTAGTTTCAAAATTCAAAAAATTGTTAAACTTAATTAAGGTTACCAGTAACACCTATTCACACTCCCTCTAAGACTAGTTCACTGACCTTGCGCTAACTCTCTATCGGAGCCTAAGGTTCCATTAATTACCCCATCCTAAATAAATATTTAACTATGTTAGTAGAAGAACAAACTAGGAATTCATTTATTATGCCAAGGTCGTACATGACCAATAACAAATAACTCCCTTATCTTAATCATCAACTTCCTACCATTTATGGGAGGATATCAAATAAAATTCCTCAAACAAATCCCTCACTTTCTCTCCTTCTCCTCTCCTTTCCCTCCTCATTTTAAAACCAAGATTCGTATAACCTCTCCTCCCTTTTCATTTCCTTCCAACTCTTACAATCCAAATGCACTTTTAGCATACCCACAATGAAAAAATGGAAACAGAAAATACTCAAAATCTCTACTTATCCATCCACATATGCATAATTCACGGACATAGAAAAAGTCCACAGGCACTATATTAGATAATGATAAGAAGGAAAAAATTTAAAAGTTTTCACCCAAATAATAATAATAGTAATAAAAAGCCAGAATAAAACATTATGCTGAAATAACCTATACAAAACTTCACTTTAGAGACTAAATGTAGGCTATGTAGCTACAAGAAATGATCCCAATTAGGAGAAAAATAAACAAATAAAATTAAAAATAATAATAAAACTCACCCAAATGTTTAAAAACAACAGTTACAATGGAATGTATCAAATTGAAACTATGAATCTAACAAATCCAGATCGGGATAAACAACGAAAAGATAACCCACATATAATATTAAAAACGTTTTTTGGGTTCCAAAAAGGGAAAACTCAGCTCCGCTGGGTCAAATAGTCTTCGACAGAGTTCAATGGAGGTTTAGTTTCCTCGATCCGAAGTCCAAATTCATACACAGAGTAAAATCAGGAATTCGATTTCTTTTCCATGCCTTATTGATACATTTTCACATCTAGCGACATTTAACATACTCGATACACGAACAGGAAACAATCATGAAATGCAATTCACGAAGGCCTGTGTATGTGTATTTATGTGTGTGTATACGTTGTGTGTGAGAGATCGCGTTTACATATGATATACAAGCAAACACAAATTAAAATGGTGCTCAAAGTGCTTACCGTTGTAGCAGATGTGTGAAGAGAACTCTTGAGCTTGATGCGTAGCAAAGGAAGCATATGCGAGTGGCGTTCAACATATAACCAAACCCAACAACAGTTTTCACGGGCGAAATGACAAAAATGTCCATGCTGTTATGTGCATGATCGACCGTCAATCTCTTGACTTGTGAATCTGATCCAATCCAATTGGATCAAATCATATTCGAATTACTTATATGGACTTGACCATGATTCAAACTAGGCTGGAAAATAGTTGTGTAACGACCCAAATTTAGGGGTTCGAATCAAACCTTAACCGAATCTGAGGTCATCTAAGGGTATTACGATCATTTATAATATCAAGACATAATTAATACATCAATGTAAAGTTTGCAGTACTTCATAGTATTATCAAATGGGTCAGGGTTGGACATGAGAGAAGAAGAAATGAAAACTGGAGAAGCGGCGGAACCGGTCGACGTGTGCAACCTCACGTCGACCGATATGACTCTACGCATGGTGACCCTTCTGCCTAGATACCGGTTGACGCCTGGCTTGGCACACGTCAGCCGGTTTGCACTTTCTTGGCCTTTAAGGCCTGTTTCTGCTGGTTTAAGTCCCCGGCACCCTTGTGGCTCATTTGTGACCTTAAATGTAGACTATACATGTCCCGAAAACATGTACTTGGTGGAATATGACTACAAATAACATCCATGCATTCATTTAAAACATAAACGAGCTTAACACATCAATTGAAGTAAAAATGAGTCCAGTTACATAGCAATACTGCCTTAAGGCCTTACATGGATTTGGAAATCCTAATGAAACCGCAAAATATAAAAGAGTGGTCTCAAAACCATTTATATCCGTGGAGTGAATATATGGTGTCGTTTAATACAAACTAGTAGCAAAAGAATTACATAGCCTTCACAAATTCATCATTTACATCTAAATCATAACATCCAAAATAAACTACATGTCTAGTCTACAAAAGAAGTCCATGGGGCTATCATGGGAGATGTTGTGGGTCGTCCATTACCTCTTTTCCGGTTTCTAAAAATAATAATGAAGGGGTGAGCACAACGGCTCAGTAGGAGGTGCCTAAATGCACTCCTTAATGATTCCGTGAATCTAATACAAAGCATAGAATATAAAGAAAGGGGATTATGCTTATTTTGGGAAAAATAACCATCATACAATTAAAGTCTCATGAATGAATGAGATGCAATGCCAATGTCACTCCCCATCTTTTCAAATAAAACCCTTGCCAACGTAACAAATGTCAAACCGTTATTGTAACCCGGCTCGAGGCAACTCCCCGGCGCCATAAGAGAAGGATTGACTAACTATCCCTAATCTAAGGCAACTCCTTAGTGTCATTTAGGGGGCCTAGGTAGCTCAACCACGCATAGGGCAATCTTCCTAGTTCCCTCTAGGTTCCATTAATGCCATGAACACAAGACGATGTCTTGCCGTCCGGTTTTCACAAACATCTTTTCAAATCTTTCTTCTCAAAACCTTTTTCCAAAAATCAATTTCTTTTCATTTCAAAATCAATTTTCCCTTTTCTCACCCAATGCCAATGCATGAATGTTACATGCATCTCTATGTCATGCCAACATGAAATTTCTACATCAATTTACAACCATACTTGCATGCTTTGGAAGTAAATTAACACAACAATTCTCATATTATCGACTACACAACCATAACATTTTAAACTTGTAAAGCATGTATTCATTTAATTCAAGTATATATTTTTGCCATAATTCAATTAAATAAGCAAATCAATACATTTGCCACATAGAAAATAACCATCATGCTTTACATATAAAAACTCTAATAACCATAAACGTAGCTCACAATTTTAACATGCTATATTCACAATACATAGGAGATAACTCACAAAAACCAAATGAATTAAGGTTTAGAGACCTCTACCTCAACAATTCAAGTCCAAGCCCTAACTTTCCCCAAAAATTTGAAATTATCAAAGTGGCCCAAAAAAAAATTGGCTCAAATAAAATCGTAACCCTCGTTGTGTTCGTCAAATTTGCCTTCAATGGCAAAGTCTAAATCCCACAAGGAATAGATTAAATTTAAGCTTAAAGGTTATAAATTTAGAGAGAGAAAAGTGTTTAGAGAGAGGGAGAGACTTGCTTCAGCTGAAGGAAGAAGGAAAAATGACCACAAAATTGATTATGTGGTCATATGAATAAAGTTTGGTTAACATGGGGTCCGCTTAACCCTCAAAATGTCTCTTTTGCCCTTATAAGCATATATATACACTAAACATGCTACAATTGATATAATTAGGCACATAACCACTTAAATACATTCCAAGCAATATGATATGAAATGAAATGACCTCAAAAAATAATCCCGAGAACGAAAAATTCGAGTGTGGGACCCACCCCGACTTCCCAGCCCGAAAATTTAAAAAATGGCAAAATGACCCAAAATACATTTCTAAGAGTTCTAAACTTAAATAAATACCCTAAATCACTCTCAAAACCTTCGTGTCACGCTAACTGGTGCGTGACATGCAAAAAGAGACGAGAAAATAAATAAATCAGAAAAAATCAAAAAATACCTAAAAAATGAAAATTCAAGAAACATTACAAGTTGATCCATCTTAGTCGAGGGATTTTTGTGTGAAAATGTTTGCAACAAGTCTAGGTGTCTCACATAGCCCCATAGCGGTGTATATATGCTTGACGAGTCGAGTGTCGTTAATTTTAGTTTTTCCTATATAGTTTTCCCAACTCTAAACTTTTTTACCGCCATCCACTCTCTCACTCTGCCTCTCACATAAGATTCACTTTAGGAGATTTTCTTGATCCTTCCTCGATCTTTGGCATATCACGATCTCTCAACGTCTCATGGTCGCTAAACACCTTATAATTATTATAATCTTTGGTCTAGTGATGAGAAGTTCAAATCATTGTCCATTATGCTTAAATGAGGACTCCTTTTCATTTGGTGCACTTATACAAAATTTAGCAAACATAGAATGTGTGAGACTCTTGTGGGTCCAAAACAAAATCCAAGTGTACCTAGAGTAATCATCTCCAATCACAAAGGTATACACATTGCCACCTCGATTGACATGTATATTGGACCAAACAAATCTATGTGTAGCAATGTCCATTATTTTACCTCTTGTCTCCAAATTTCACAAGGCCACCATCCTTAGGCTTAAAAAAGAAGAACACTGAACAATCTCCTATCATATGCCTTGAGCAGCCACTATTAAGGAGCCAGTTGCTCTTGAAATATAAAGATGAGGAGGATTTCAAGTAAACCTATAAAAGAATCCTCGAGTGACTTCCTTTGGTCCCCAAATTCCTTTGGATCCAATTGGTTTAACTCCATGAATCAAAATTCCCTTAAAAATCCAAACACATCTAATTCTAACTTTCTTCTTCCTAAATGATACTGAATTAGGTCCTTGTCCTTTGCAATGTTTACCAGTCTTCTTGGGAGGATGACAAGAGGTTTTCTTGATAGATTTAGATGTCGAGCATTTACGTTTAATCAAAGGATTGAATCATTTCCTAGACTTGTCATTGGCATGTCTCCTTCTCCAAAGTAAAACATTTAGATTTTTAGAATCATTAGTGAACTGTACGTGCTAATGATAAAGGTAAGTCATCAATGCTTTTCTTTGAATTAGTGGTTTTTTTTTTTTTTTTTTTTTTTTTTTTTTTTTTAGCTCAATTGAGGATTTAACTCTATAGGCAGTCTCATCTTTTTCCTTTTTCAAAACTTCATTTTTAGATTTAACAATTGAAACCTCATTTGAAAGAGATGTTACTTACTTCTTATGAGCTATGTTTTCAAAGAAGTTATTTCAGATTCTAAAAGTAGCTCATCAAAAGCTAGCATTTTGAAGTTCTTCAACAAAGTGGTCAAGAGATTCATATGCCAATTCTCTTATGGTCAGCTGATCCTTGCATGATTCCTCGTCTGATTAGCTGTCATCGGAATCATCCAAAGTAGCTTTGAATGCTACCTTGTTTTTCTTGCAATCCTTTTGTTATGGAAATTTAATTTCATGCACTAAAATATTATAAACGAATCACACTAAAACATTATATAAATATAATTGATAATTAAAGTAAGTTTTGGATAAATTAAATCAATAAGAATATGGTAGTTTTGTATGATATTAGTTACATGCAAATATATATATAGACACAAAATTTAAATATAATTGTTTCATATAAAAGACAATGAAATAAAACAAATAAAATATAAAGGTAAAGTTAAAAAAAGACTGGCCTGATATAGAGAGGCACGTGATATACACGCTGACCTAAAGTTGATAGCCCTCCCCTACGTGCAGGTGCAGACGGTGCTAGTCAACTCCAAGATACAACCCAATCAGCTCTCAATGATGCCTCCTCTATGTACACGACCACAGGAAGGCAAAAGGACCAAGTCTCCAATGTCAAGTTGCCCAAAATATTAAAATATAGGTAAACTATATGAAAGATATCAATATAATAATCGCAGAAAAAACAATACGCAAATATGGTAGAGCAGATTAGTATATCCCTTTAAGTGCATCCTGTAGACACTAAAATTTTATGGACTTTTGTCTTGACAAATTGATCTATTAAATATGAGTCTTATGTTAAATTAAATTATTTAATTGGCCCAAACTTGGTCCACTTAAATTATTTAATTAGCCCAGCCTAGATGATTAAATAAGAAAGATAATTATTCCTAATAAAATATATATGGAATAATTATTTTATAGATAATCATCACAATATAGTCGGCCCGGCCTAGTTATGATTTTGTTCTTATCAGGAGAGGACATGTGTCATCATCCTATTAATCCAAGAAGCTTATAAATAAAGGCCTAGAGGAAGGAGAAAGGGGTCTAGAAATTCAGAGACTCAGAAATCCAGAGGGCCAGAAATCTTAGAGAGAAATACAGAAGCTTTATCAACATTCATTCCCAACACCCAAACATGAAGGCGAAGTGCAACAAGCACATCAAATCGTGCCGTTCTTCATCAAATTCCACGGTGATTAACAACAAGCACAACCAAAGTCGGGCCGTTCATCCACAAATTCTCTGAAGACGAAGAACAACAAGCATATCCAATCCAAAGTCGTGTCGTTCTTC